AATTAGTTAAAAACTAATAGTATAAAAAAGAAAAAAGTTGTAAGTTTTCAAACACGATTATTTTTAATATTCTAATCACTCGCCTCACTCATTTAGTCACAGCTTGCTATTGGCATTTACCTCTATCAACTGGAAAGTATTTTATTAATTTTATTTATTAATAACTAATAGTGGCTTTTCACGCCACCCATGAGGTGCCACTGATAGCTCGTTAGATTTTTTTAAGGTGGATCTTTGCCTGTAGCCCTATTAAACCACATTTAATTATTTTTCATGTCTAACAAAAAAAAGATATTTACAAATATATATATATACAGGATGTCCCATTTAACTTGAGACAACTAAATATTTCAAAAAATAAGCATTGTACGAAAAAATGTCCCAAATAAACTTTTAATATTATCAAGGGGGACGTCTGTCTGTGTAAAAATTAACCCGCCCCCACCGCCCCTTGGGGATGGGGCGGGTGGCAACTTTAAAATTTTAAATAGGAACCCCCATTTTTTATTGTAGATTCGGATTCCTTGGAAAAAAATACGTAAGTTTTGTCCGAGACATTTTTTCGAATCGTGATAGATGGCGCTGTAATCAGTGAAAATTAATTTTTGCCATTTTCTCTCACCATCGGAGTGCTTTATTTCGGTGAGTCCCCTCGCCTCTCACTATTCAATTACAATAAATGCTCGAAATGATGACCTTTCAATTTCGATGCATTTATTAACTCGAGCTTGGAATGCTTGTACACATGTAGAAAGTGTATCTGTCGTTATTTGTGCGCAAGCATATCTAATACGTTCCACCATGTTTTCTCGAGTATTTGGTACTTTTGTATACACTTTTTCTTTAAGGTAACCCCACAAAAAGAAATCTGACGTAAGGTCTGGCGATCTGGCAGGCCAATTTACCGGACCACCTCTACCGATCCAGCAATCATTGTAATTACGATTTAACACTTCTCGTACTATTACTGAATAATGTGCTGGACAACCATCATGCTGGAACCA